TTTGCCCAAAGAAATGAAGCTAAGGTGATTTTATTTATGTATTTACTTACGTATTTATTTATTTTTAAGTAGTCTCCATGCCCAACGTGGGGCTTGAACTCAGTACCCTGAGATCATGAGTTGCATGTTCTACCGAGGGAGCCATCCAGGCGTCCCGGCAGCTAATGTAAATCTCAGCAAATAGGAGGGACTCGTGTCAGCAGTGACGTGGAACAATACCGCCTGCGTTTGTGAAGATATCTGGTTTCCAGCCATGATTTCCTGTGCCCTCTAGTAGGGGACACAAGTTTCAATGACACGTGTTCAAGGTCATGGCACTCCCGTATAGCTCTATCTGCTCAGTCACTTTGCTTCAGCAGGGGAAGTTCATTGTCACGATTCCTCGCCCACGCTCTTTGCAGTCTTAGATTCCCGCCGCTTGGGTTAATCTTCACTGCTTCATCCCTGTCTTGCAACACATCTTCACTGAACGTTGTCCTCGCCACCTTCTAGAAGTGCACTATACGTTGCAAAGCATTATCCCGGAGAGAGATCAGAAATTCGGAAAACGAAACCTCAGTGGCAGCATTTAAGCCCCCGGATGCAGAAGGACATCAAGGACGGGCGTTGAGTTAGACGTGAGCTTGCACCTCGTCCTTCACACGTTGCCCGTGCGGCACCGGGAACCGCCAGCGTGTCCCGCCTGGGAACGGAGGTGGCATCCACCCAGAGGAGCTGAGAATTCTGGTTCCTGCGCTTGTGGGTGTCATGGGGGGGTGGCGGAGGGGGGAGGGTGAAACGGCGAATCCTGGAGTCATACAGTCTGGAGGTGACATTTACTGCATTGTGTGCGTGAGCCTTGAACCACTTACCTGATTTCTCCAATATTTACCCTTCTCGTGTGTAAGGCAATAACCACAACAACTGAGCAGCTGCCCTGTAGAGATAGTGGGCACAGAGTGCCCAGGTTTGGGTAAAGGAAGTAATGCGGTTGGAACCTGCGATTTTGTGTGCCTTAAGTGGCAGTTCTGTGGCTGGTGTCTGGAAGATGAAGAAAGAAGGGACAGAGGAAGGAAATACTCTGCATTTCGCGTCCCCTCCCGAATTCCTGTGTTGAAATCCTGACACCCCCCCCCCCCCCCCCCCCCGCTGTCAATGGTGTTAGCGGGTGGGGCCTTTGGGAGGTGGTTATGTTGTGAGGACGGAATCGTCACGCATGGGATTCGTGTCCTTTTAAAGGAGACCCCCACCCCCCACTCCCGCCCCCCACCCAGAGCTAGCTCACCCCTTCTGCCATGTGAGGACATGGAAAAGACGGCCGTCTATGAACCGGAAAGCAGCCCTCACCAGACACCAGGTCTGTCTGGCACCTTGATCTTGGACTTCCAGCCTCCAGAAGCGTGAGGAATAAGTGTCTGTTGTTTGTAAGCCCCTCAGTCTGTGGGATTTTGTTACAGCCGCCGACTGTAGGAACTAAGACATACACCAGAAGCTTGACCTCTCTGCTAGTGTTGCCCCTTAGTCATTGAGACTGACCTCTTCTTAGGAACCTCGTCTGCTCTCCGTGCTGTGCTCTGATTATGGCATCGGCAGATGTTTTTAGGTCGAGTCACCAAGGAAGCTAAGAGTGGTTTCCCTCTGCCCGGGTTTGGATCTCAGCCCCAGCCAAGTGTCTGGGGCCTGTGGGTTCCTGGAGGGATCTCAAGACCTGGCCTGTAAAAGGGAAAGTTGCACTTGGGGTAGCGAGGCAGAGCGTTACCAAGAGGCTTTAAGGGAAGTCGTGGCGAGTTGTTGGAGCGGTGCCTGGTGGAGAGGACGCACCACACAAGGCCTGCCTATCATTTTTAGTACTCGTGCAATTCCTTGCACAAGGCCCTTTAAAGATACCAACCAGGAGAATAAGAAATGGCCCTCGAAATCCAGTGTCCCGTGCCCTTAGCTGGTCGAGCCCGCAGATGGAGGAGAAGGCAGGAGCCGGGTGAGTGGGGTCAGCAGGCAGGGAGAGTCAGGAGTTTGTAAGACCGACAGATCACTGTGGCCCGGGGTATATGGTGAGGACCCCAGGCAAGAGCGAGTCAGGCCAGGAATCTACTTGCCCCTGCTCTATCCACTCACCTGGGGTTTTCCATCTACACGGCTGGCAACCTGACAGATGAAAGCTTGGAGATAAGATTTCTGGCAGGGCCGAGACTCAGGATATAGTCACTGGTTAACACTGGAGGGGGTGGGGGTTGTGTTATGGCCACTGGAGGGG